ATAGATCTAGAAGTGAATCCAGCCTGATTGGCCCCCAGTACTCCAAGGCCATGCTTTTTGGTCATTACCCCCACTCTACTTCTCCTTATACATTATACCCATTTTGAAACCCAGGACCGTTTATTCTGTCTTTATCGACTCTGTATAGTGGGCCAAGACTGGCTCTGGGGAGCATCTATATATGCCCTTAAGACAAGTCTCAGCAAGACTAGGCATGCTTCTTGCCCTCGTAGAATTTTCGAACCATGGTTTGCAACCCATAATAGATGTGAAATCAGTTTAGAGGGTCGCAGCCAGCATTTAAAAGAAACAGAATAGAAAATATTAAGATGCATCAGACATTGTGACAAGTGTTTTATGAAACTATGTGTATGGTAGTTTACAGGATAAAACATTTCCAGCTGTAGTTTGTGGACAAATGAGTTGAAAGCGACTGATCTGGGGTCCCAGAGTGGTGGACGCAGAGGTAGTTTTGAAACAAGTAAGGTGACAGATTAGATAAGCGATTGGAGGCTGTCCTAGGAGCTAGGAAGACGGTATACAGGCAGAATAAGGAAGAGGCCAGCATGGTGCCCATGACCACACCGGCATCTCCTGAGAGGATAACCTTGGGGCTGAGACCTCCAGGAGAGTCCCAGGATGCACGCGGCCTGGACTCAGGACAACAGCCACCCTGGGCAGGGTAGGAACAAGGTAGAAAGAGCTGGACCATAGCATCTGACCATAATACAGTACAGGTAGAAGGTAACGCAGATGTAAGCAAACCCTGAGGCCTAGACGCCATCTTCGTCCTCACCGCCATCACCCTCTTAACTCAGGTCAGATGAGGAAGAACCAAAAACTAAATTGCAGAATGTTGTCAGGCTGACCTTTGATGAACCTCTCTTCAAAGTTTTTCTTTGTTTCTAAAATATTTTTATATTTTATGAAAGGTTCTGTTTATAGACATTGGCTCGTTCACATCTTTTTTTTTTTTTGGTAGTGTCTACCTAGACCTCTGGTTGGTTGGCCTTTCTAGACCACGGTATCTCAATGTGGCGCTCTTGACATTGGGACTGCATAAATCTGGGATGTGTAGCAGCATTCCTGGCCCTTCCCGACCTGATGCCAATAGCAGCCTACTCCTTACCCTGGTTCTGATGGCCAGAAATGTTTACAGACGTTGCCACAGGGCCGGGGGGCGGAGCAGGGGCGCTGAACTGAGAACATTCTAGCAGGAATTCTAGGATACAGTGAGAGGAGATTGCCCAGATTGAGAATACCCTCCATCCCATCTGTCCATGACAGGGTTACTTTCTGTTTCCTTTCTGTTTAGTTGGAAATGTTAAATGTTAGGACTGGGGCTTCTAATGACTTGTAATCGGAGAAATCTGTATATGTATGTAAAACTGTGTGGTAGGGGGACTCTTGCCTCCACGTGGTGAGAGTTCCCTTGCAGTATAGTTGCTATCCTAAGGTTGAACATAAAAGTGGATTGACGCTGGCTGAGCTATTTTTTTAATTGACTCCATACCTTTTGATCTTTCATGTAGAAGTGGACCCAGCATTAGACAAGCCTTCCGAGTCGTTTTTCCAATACTGGTGATTTGGTTTCCTTTGTTCTTCTCCCATGCTTAATCCAGTCCGCCTGGCGACCAGTGGCTTATATTTCTGACACAGGAGTTATTTGTTCTGAGGCTGCCTTTTCCCTAAGTTGGTTTCCTGTCTATTAATCTTCCATATTTTCCTCCACTTCTTAACCTCACCACCTTTCTCCTACCATATGCTCCATGGAAGTGACTCCATTTTTTTCCTGAGTTGGGTTTTACAGAATGTATTTTGTTACTGTTTTGTGGTGACTGTTCCCCCCAAAAATTCCTGTAAAAAGAATCCCATTCTTTAAACCTAGAGTTTTCCTGCCATTTTGGGAATAATCTAGTGTAACTAATATCCTGTTAATTGTTGCACATACCAATGACTTTTGATGCTTCAAGGGACTCTCCTTAAAAATTCTTGACTAAGATTGTGGGTCTCATTAATCCTTTGAAATCTTTCTAAATTAAATCAGGTGCTTATTCAACCACTGTGCATTAACACACTGAATGCAGGGGGCTGGTTCCATCTCTTACTTCCTTGCGGTCTCTGCTTTGATGTGACCCTACGAGTGAGGCTCTCCTCCCATCTCGTATAAAGTAACCCCTCTTGGTACTTAATTCCTTTACCCTCATTTATGTCTTCAGAAACATTCATCACCATCTGTGATAGATATTTACTTGTGTATTTGATTTTATTTCCTTCCCCTTGTTGGAATGTAAAGTGTATTTCCAGTCCTTAGACCACATCAAGAAATATTTGCTTGAATGAATGGATTTCCTTAATTTATCAGACACTTATTTAGCACCTGCAGAATGGCACGCACTATTCTAGAATTTTTACACATGTTAACCCATCTCTGAAGGGATGGTTATCCTTGCCTTTCCTTCACGAACACATTTTCTCTACTATTCTACTTTTCTGGAGAGAATTCATATTTTGAGCAGCTGCTGTCCTCTGTCTTTTCTGTTCATGGTCTCTTGTTTATGTTCTCTTCCATCATGATTCTGTCTCCTTGAGACCATGGGAAGAATTGGTTCCAGTTCTCTGGATTTTCCCACTCCTAGAATGGGCACGTGCCCACGTTTGGCACAGAGCATGCTCCTGAAAACCTGAACTCGAGTGTACGATGGTGGGAAACCCTACGACGGTGTGTAGCCATCTCCCTCAGAGCCGTGTGCCCAGCTCTGGACTTCAGTCCACGCATTGTCTTACTGTTCTCGGGGCATTAAAAAAGACCAATGCTTACATATGATATAAATATTTAGGGGTGTGTGTGTGTGTGTAATTTTTTAGTGTCTAAGTGTTGTAGGCTGTGTGTGATTATTTCCAAAAGGCAGAATCAATATAAATACAGATGACAATTCTAGTATTCTAAATTATTTCTGTCCTCAAATTCTGGAATTCTCTGTATACTCAGGGACATTTAGTAGGAAGAGTTGTTTCCACGTTGGGAAGGACTTGCTGATGATGAGGGGACGTGGGGATTGAGTACGAGACAGTTGTGCTGGTTTTGGTGCCCTCTCGTCTCTCCTACAAGAACCTTTTCCTGGGAACCTGAGCAACCATTCTGCCCACTGTGTTGGCGGGAGTTTTGAGCAAGCAGCATGAGAAGAGTCTCCCGGTGTGTGCTAGGAGCAGAGAGGTGACACAGGACTCTTCTTTGCACTCCTCAGCTGGCTGGGAGTTCGCGGGGCCAAAGTTCTGCTTCTGCCCCCACCGCACAGTCACTGCAGATAGCAGACCCAAGTACCAGCCCAGTGGTTAGTTTTCCAGAAAACCTGCTTGGGGCATCTGGGTGGCTCAGTTGGTTGGGCGTCTGCCTTTGGCTCAGGTTGTGATCTCAAGGTCCTGCGATCGGGCCCTGCATCAACTCTTGGCCTAAATCTGTTTCTTTAATTTTCTTCCATGGTGCTTGAGTTAGAATGGAAGGTCAGTGTCTTAAAAGTGCATCCACACTCTTGAATGTTCCTACACATTGTTTTTCTTTAATACGTGTTTCTTGGCCAGGACATACCCCACCTTGCACTCCCTGAGCGGTCCCCAGGCCTGTCCTACCCTTTGGGTGCTTACGTGGCGGGGTTGGCTGCCTCGCCAGGAGGTGGGGCCACTGGGGCTGGTTCATCTCCTGGTGGATGTCTGCTCCCAGGAAGCAGCTGGGGAGAGTGGCTGACCTTGAGAAGAGACGGTCGGGTGTCTGCCGTCGTGTTGAGCAGCTTCTCAGGACTGGTTTTGACTAACTCTTGTGGTTCATGTGGCAGAAATGCCACTGCTGAAGTTTTATTTTTTCTCTAGAAAAATAAAACATGCCATTTTTCACGGCTTCTCAAAACCATTGGATTGGTACTTTGGCTTTCCTTAGTATGTCATTCTCTTTTGCAATAACATACTATTTGTTGCCATGTAGGCAAGTGGTCGATATTTAAAAATAGAATTCCCCAATCAGGAAGTTCTACAGATACTGCTCCAGAAAGTCGTTGTGTGTATGTGCACATATGAAGTGCATGTGAAGACTGCATTTTTCATGTTCTTTAGGTCCTTGCTTTTTATATCTTCGTGTTTTTTAGGGATGAACGTTGTAAAAGTATAAGATGAATAATTACGGAGTAGACTCCGTCAGCAAATGATTTTGTTATGTACATGAGTTTATATGTAAAGCTGGCCAAACTTTGATCAACAGGTGCAGCTGACTTAATATGTTTAATCGTATACCAAATCAGTAGTGATAAAAAAGCAATGGGTAGATTTTAGAAACACATGCAGATTCAGTGATCCGTCTTCACTGCGTCCGAGTTCGTCATGTACATGCTAGGGCACGTATACGGCACTCATCAGTGGTGTTCAGAATTTTAAGGAGGACAGGTGTCAAGCAAACAAACTGATTTTATTTTAAATTCCAAGAAGGGATTTAAGGATATTTTTAACATATTCCTGTGAAGATGTGTTCCAACCTTTGAACAGATACATATTTGAACAAATAGGACTATGTGGTGAATGGAAGAGCTGTTATCATGAAGTTTTTAAATATATATGTTTGATCCCATGTGAGGCATTACACAGTGAAGCCAAATCACTCTTCAAAAAGTTTGGTTAGCCAGTTTCTTAACTCTTACTGGTTTATAGCAATTGGAGAAATACGTGGAGAAGTGAACCGCAAATTTGTGATTTCTGCGATTCCCAAGGGATGGCTAATACTTGAACTCATGTCTTTGAGGAATATCTAATTGCAGTTGTCAAGTAATTGCTTCCTTTAAAAATAGATAAGTGGCACAGAGAAAATGAAGAAGTTCTCTGCAGTAATACTTTTTATTGGCCAATTCAGGATCTTGTTGCTGAAACTGTCCTGAGATTGTACTTTAAGGTGGGAAATGTCTGGGGAGACCGTTCATTGCTGATCTCTAAACAGTTGAAATCATTCTGCCCATCAGGTGTTCACCTACAAGCAGAGCACAATTACACACCAGAAGGTCACTGCTATGCACCCCATGAATGAAGAGGGCGTGGATGACATGGCCACTTTGACGGAGCTCCACGGGGGGTCCATCATGCATAACTTATACCAGCGATATAAGAGAAATCAAATATATGTAAGTTCCACTTGAATTCTTTTTTTAAAAAAAAAAATCCCTCAAGTTTGAGTGAATGCTAATTTTTGTTTTCAAAGGGTATTTCCTGCCTTTTGAGAACCTGACCATCTCATCTAAGTAAACCTGTGTTTCTGGGAGTTTTGCCAGATTAAAAACATGGTCCAATAAATTATGTTCTCATGTTTACTGCTTTGATTTTATTAGAGGGGATTACTTTCTATTGAAGGGTAATTTGACCTCTTCGGGTGAGTGCATTCTGTTTTGTTAAGTGTTTTGTTCTATGAAGAAGTCACCAGAATGGTTGTCTTCCTCAGTTAAGGGCTGGGGGTGGGGGGTGTGAAATGCAGATTTGCAAACAGTAGTACCTTGAGCTCCAGCTTTTGTCTCCTTTTCTTGATTTTTCTCCTTTTATGGATTTTCGCATTTTTTTTTTTTTCTGGCTCTGGAGCCCCTCCAGGGGAATATTTGGATTCAGGGAACCCATCTTTCTTATTTGTAGGATTGCTATTTTGAAAGGGAGACATGTCCATAAGAGCAGGCGTGCACATTTTTCTCTCAACTTTTGTGAAATGTGACTATATCTGTATTATAAGAGTAATAGTTAGAAATCATTTCAAAGAAAGAAATCATTTCTATAATACGTAATTACTTTTTGACATTAAAGTACATATATTAGCTTATCTGTCAAGATTGGCCTGCAGATTTTACCTTTTTCATCTGCCTGTTTCTAAGTCCTTACAGTAAAGGGGCCAACGGCTTACATGTTTTTTTCTTGTCAAGTTCAAATTTATAGGGTTTTTTTGAAAAAAATTTTTTTAATATTGTAGAAAACTCTTGATCTTTTAGTAATTTTTCTTCTTCAGCAGTTACGCTTAATTTTGCCAATACGTTTGTGATTCTGATGAATAACATCAGCCTTTACAGCAAACTAGTAGGTGCTTACGGAAACTCAAGGCCTGCTTAGTATTCTTGTTTCACCAATTTATTTGCCCTTAGACGAGGAGAGGAGAGCTGGGAAATGAGGAGTTACTTGCGGGTTTAATGCTTAATTTTCCTCTGCTTTTTACGTTGCGAAAGTGTCATTTTTGCCAGATTGGCATAATGTTTGCCACGTTTTTAAGTGGCCCTATGGAGAGAAATGCAGTGGGATTCTAGCTCTCTGGCTGAGCTTGCCTACGCGAAGTCTCTAGATTACGATGTTTTCCATATGCTCTTCGGGAAGGGTAACATTCCCATGTGTTTATGAAGACATGGCTGTCTGTTCTGTGTTGTGCATGTGTCGATGGAACTCTGTGGTCAGAAACCTCCAGGGTGACCAGTGGCCTCCCTCCTTCCTGGGGAAGAGCCACGACCTGCATCCAGGTTGCTGTTCCTGGATATTGAGTATTATTTGACGCTGCCACGGAACTTTGTTTACCTAGCAATTTCCTTGCTCAGTTTGTCAAGGACTGACTTTGTCTTTCCTTTTTTATGTGTTTTTAAAGATTTTCTTTATTAGAGAGGGCACGAGCCAGGGAGAGAGGCAGAGGGAAAGAGAAAGGGAGAAGCAGACTCTCCGCTGAGCAGGGAGCCCGACATGGGGCTTGATCCGAGGACCCCGGGATCATGACCCGAACTGAAGGCAGACGCCCAACCGATTGAGCCACCCAGGAACCCCTGACTTTGTCTTTCTTGAGCCAAGGACATTCCCAGGCACCTGGTAATTGTGTGAGAAATGTTTATAAAACACATGCCATATGTATTAGAAATAACATCCTAGTTGATGATGAAATGCGAAGCTAGATTGACAGTTTCTTTATGGGTATGTGTGTCTCGTAGGTGAGTATTTCAGAATTCACCCTCTTCTGTCTTTAGGTGCAAGTTCTTATTCTACATTTAATAGTCAGGGAAAAGTCAATCCATTAGCAGGGGCCGGGGTGGGGTGGGGGGGAACTACCCAGGGGGTTTAAAAGGCAGAGCCTTTTTAAAGTTTTTCCTCTCCCTCTTTTTGTGATGACGTTAAACCTGATAGCTAAGTGGCCCAATAAAGCCTGCGAATAGGGTCTTGGTTTTTTTCCCTAGAATGAAGATCTTTTTCCTCCCCTTTGAGGGAAAAACACGGGATTTTTGTACCTCCAATTTACAGGTCGGTTCAGTTAATAATGCCCTTCTGTGCCTGCCTTTTGAGACTTGGGTAACTGAATTGTCATAAAGCAGCCCCTCGATTTTCTTATCGCTGATGCTGCTGGAGATGGTTGCCAGGATGCCTCAGGCTGTGCCCCATCAAGACAAAACGACCACCTGTCAGAAAAACCACAGCTGTCCTGCCTTTTATCCCCGCTCTGAGCGATGCCCGTCTATAGCTTTAAAGAAGAAAAAAATTACTCGTACCAGAGGTGCTGTATTAGTTTTCTTTTGCTGGCATAAAAAATTCCCGTAACTATAACAACTTAAAACAGCAGATAGTGACCTACGGTTCCGTAGGTCATGGTCCGGCCGGGGTCTCGCCAGCCTCAGATCCAGGGTTGGGAAGGGCAGTGCTCCTTTCTAGAGGCTCTAGGGGACGATCTGTTTCCTGCTCCTTCTGTTCATATGTGCAGTTACAGGACTGAGGTCCCCGTTTTCTTGCTGGCTGTCAGCTGAGGGCTGTTCTTAGCTTCCACGGGTCTGCTTCCTTCCACCGTCAAAGCCAGCAGCGGTAGACCGAGTCTCTCTCATGTTTCAAATCTCTCCTTCCTTCCTTCTCATTTCTGTCTGCAGCCAAGACTTCTCTTAGCTTTTAAGGATTCCTGCAATTGGATGGGGCCCACCTGGATGATCGCCCTGTCTCAGCATTTCCAACCTTAATCACATCCTCAAAGTGCATTCGGCCTGGATGTCCAGGGGGCACGTTCATCTGCTTGCCATAGGTGGCCTCCTTTGAGTCATGTTACGGAGAAGGAATCCCCGTGGGTCTTCTCCGACACTCTTGATCTTGCATTATTTCATTTGTTGGCTTTCTGGTCCGAGTTAGCAGGTTACACAGCTTGCTGATGAGCAGACCCATCACCAGGTAGAAAGGTCTACTGCCTTGTGCTAAAAAGGACCATTAGTTTTTTTTCTCCTTGGGGACCGCCCTTACTGACTGAGGACTTTACCAGACCCCAGTAAGATATTTTCCCCAGCCATTACCATCCTCCATTAAAATGGGGTAGACAGCCATAAAGATTATGATAAAGCACTCAGAGTAGACAAATCTGAGTTGAGCATGCTTTTCTCCACTCGCCTCCTCTTGGGCTCTATCTTAATAATTTAATCTGTGTGTCAGTTTTTTAATTTATGTTTTATAAAAGGTCAGATGTCATAGCGATGTCATAACCCCTACATCTGACAGGACTGTTTTCAAATCAAATGGCAAGTGAGAGCTTCTAGAACCTTTGTACCTTTCCCGCATCTTGTCTGTACTACCAGGTGTTTATTTATAAAGCTCCTGCCTGGAACTTGGCCCGGGATCCTTCAGGGCAGACACTGAACAGACTTCTCTGTCAGTGTGTAGGTCTGCATGACCCTAGCTTTGCCACTGGTCCTTTTGGGATCTGACCCCTGGTTAGAGCAGCTCTACTCTTTACATAATTGCCTTGCATGAGCCCCTTACTTTTGCCCTAATGCTGGATTCCTTTCCTGGAACTTCAGGTTCCTGGTGCTTGAGGCTCCATCTCATCTTTCCCATCCTCTGGTGACTTCCCAGCACTGTAGCTCCTAGCCTGGGACCTCATCCCACACTCCACCCTGAGACTCTTTTCTATGGGCTTCCTGCCACAGGGGCTGTTCCATGATGGCCTCTCCTCGGGAGAGGGTCTGATGAGGGTCCCACATTCCTCTGTCTCCTCCTACCGCTCATGAGACTGGGTAAGGACAAGTAAGTACCCACGCCTGTTAAGTTCCTAAAGGCTCAGGGAGAGGAGGAGCAGGGCATGTGTTTGTGGGACAAACAGGAAAGAGATAGGGAGAGGTAACCTGTAGGTAGGCGAGAAAGCCTGAACTGACCATGAAAAGCCCTGTGGGGGGACGGGAGGGGCAATAATGACACTTCAGAGGAGGGATAAGAGTTGGTTAGGAGGAAGGGCTAGTAGACACCATACAAGAACATGGAGAGACGAGAGTGAATTCAGCGTGATGGACTCACTAAATTGGGGGAAGTTCCTTTGCTCACGGCATCTGGCGTGCTAGGGAATATCGAGCCGGTTAGACGGGGTAGGCAGGCTGGGGTCAGGACATCCTTAAAGCAGGGATTCTCAACCAGGTGATTCCGTCCCCAGGGGACGTTGGGCGCTATCTGGAGGCATTTCTGGTTGCCTGGCTAAGGCAGAGGATGCTATTGGTACCTGGTGGGTAGGGACCAGGGGTGCTGCTGACATCCCACGGTGCCCGGAACAGCCCGCAGCAAAGCATTATCTGGACTGCGATGTCAGTAGTGCCAAGGTTGAGAAACCTTGATTTGCTTATATTAGTAATGTTTGGGCTGAGCGGTATAGAAAGCACACCACCTTTGTTAAAGGTTTTTGAAGAGAGAATTTCCTCAAGGTGAAACTTAGACAAGTTGATAGGGAGGTGGTGTGGTATAGAGTAGAGAGGGTAGATGGGCGGAGAGAAGGTTGCAAAGACGCCACGGCAAAGCGATGGAGGGCTTTAGCCAGGGGCGGGGTGGGGGTTGGGGGCAAGGGAAGAACAGACAGGAGAAGCGTGGGGGAGGAAGGGTTCGCTTTCATGACCCCCAGCCTTGTGAACGCCCAACGGCCATGAGAACATGGTGCCAACAGTCCCGGCAGCTCCCCTAGGAGAGGAGAGCGGGGAAGACGAGCTGGTGTTGGACGCCCGTCTCACTGTATTCTCTGGAGCCTGGATCATTTCAAATAGTTACGTACCCAGTGTCTAAACACAGTGTTGACAAGAGCAGATGAGGCTTCTGTTGTATCGAACCTAAGCTCCGGGTCCGCCAAGCAAGCTCCACGGTGTGGCAGATTTGCTTTCCGCCAAATGGG